TGCACTCCAGTCTGGGTGACAGAGTGAGACTCCAACTCAAAAATAAATAAATAAATAATTTAAAAAAATAAACTCAAAAGAGTAAATAAGAGATTTTAAACTAAAATTCCTACAGGTAAAGGTGCCAGAGAAACAAATGCCTTCCTTCCTCTTTACAAGTTAGTGCTTGTGTATCCAGAGACTGCCTTATGACATTAGAGAACAAACATTCAATACCACCATGCAAAAGTGACATGGATGATAAACCATTAACTTTCTTTAATGTATTCCATGATTATGTAGAAATAAAAAAGTGACTTTCCTCATGAATAATCTGAAGCAAGGTACTGGCACAGGAAATGACTTTTAGCCTTTTCAATGGTACTTCATCAAAACGTTAACAATGTTCACAGAAATACTCATTTTTTGATGAATAAGAATTAGAGTAATCTCTGCGACTTCAAAAAATATTGAATTCCATTTCTGCATTTCAATCGCTGCTTGCAAGTATGACAATCTCTGTGACTACTGTGTAATCCTGACGTCTGTAAACCTAATGCCTTATACCCTTCTGAACGCAGATAATTCTATTTCTTCATGGCCTGCAGATCTGAGGCACCAAGAGAAAAGAAAGGATATATTTTTTTTCATCATGACATGTATCTTGATAACATATTTTTATTACGTGAATAAAACCAAAGCCAGTGAACATTTGCCTAGAAAACTGATGATGTCATCCTGGTTATCTAGCCTAACTGGCGCAGTTACCTTAGATTTGCACTGGTTGTGTTTTTTAAATGCTTTCATTCAAGACACAGCTATCTCTAATGACCTAATTCAATTTCTGAGGCCGGGCAGGATGGCTAATGCCTATAACCCCAGTGTTTTAGAAGGCCAGGGCATGAGGATCCCTCAAGGCCAGGAGTTCGAGACCAGCCTGGGCAAAGCAGTGAAACCCTATCTCTACCAAAAAAATATTTAATTCCATGTCCGCATCTCAACTGCTGCTTGCAAGAATGAGACATAGTGAGCTTACAGAGATCCGTTTCTATTTTATACCACTTTGTGAATCCCATGCTATCTTTATATCTCAGTGCAACACAGGGTGAAACAGCCATAGTTACAGGGCACAGGGGAGTTGAAAAAAACCTTTTGTCTGTTTTTCAAAAGTCAGACGCTTTTGATGTAGCATGGATATTTTATGTAACGGAGAAATTATGCTCCTGAAATAAATTCCAACTGGAGTAAACTCATCATGCACCACAAAACAATTTTGCAAGCCGAGACCCACGTGGGCCAGGCAAAGTGTGATCTGAGGACTGGAGACATTTCACCAGTTGCTGGGTACCCGTCCATGAAGAGATCAGTGCTTACACACTTTGAATAGCAATTTGACAGTTGCTATTTTATATCTATTGAAATACTTTTTAAAATTGTATTTTGTAGGTCTTTTTAAAAAATTTCCTTTGCCTGGTCATTCATTCATATTATTAAAGTATTAATTTGGAGAACTGGCAATTTCAAAAACAAAAACTAGTCCCTCACTACAGACAGCTTGAGAAGCACTGAAATGGATTTCAGTGGATGTGTGAATGAAAAAATCAAAAGGCAACCTTCAGTGTGTCTAAAACGAATAGTCAAAACATGAGAGATTTCAAAGGCAAAACTTAAGCTTTATGATAATTAGGAATCAGCAAACTTATTGAACATGAACAATTTTAGTATTCTCAAAAATTTACTTTGAACATGAATAGATAGCTAGATAGAAACCCACTTTTTCTATTAAAAGAATCAACGCAAGGAGTAAAAAATCTTGTGTCGCTTAAACATTATCTTATATTAATATAATCCTTATCTATCTTTCATTCTGGAAATAAAAGCCTAAAATATGATAATATGGACTCTATCTACCATACATAAAACAGTCACATTATCATTCCTAAAAGAATCATACGTAATATAAAAAACTAAAATACCACTCTTCTGTCTCAGATTGTTGGGGACAGTCACAAAGGATTCCTAGCTGCAGTTTCTGCTTCAGTTATGTCCATTTTTTTTGTTTGTATCGTACTTGGTTAGATCTCAGTTTCTAAGTGTACAAGTACATCTCTTTTCCAGCTAGATTGTTAGCACCTCAAGGGAAAGACCTGAACCCCAGATTTAAGGCTGTGAACATTCTGGATTCGTATTGCTGATCACCTGAATAAAATGATATGAGAGCACACACAAAAAATAAAAAATCAAATAATTCTTTCAAATTAGGTTGTTGAATCTTCACAATGAAAGTTAGATATATTTTACAAGATACTTCCTGTTGTTACATTTTACAGCTACATTACTCAGGAAGAGAGAATTGATTTCTCTATGAACATTTTTCAATTTGAGTGTATTCTGGATGCTTAACATAACTCTAATCATTGAGACAAAAAAAGGAACCAAGCCATTTTTGTCATCAATTCAGACAATATTGGCATTTTTTAAAGGCATCTTTTTCTCTTTTTTTTGGAGTTGGAGTCTCACTCTTGTTGTGCAGACTGGAGTGCAGTGTCAGGCTTACAGCCACAGCAGCCTCGACTTGCTGGGCTCGGGTGATCTTCCTGCCTCAGCCTTCCAAGTAGCAGAAACTACAGACGTACGCCACCATGCCCGGCTAGTTTTTGTGATTTATTGTAGAGATGAAGTATCGCCAAGTTGCCCAGGCTGGTCTCAAACTCCTAGGCTCAGGCAATTCTCCCGCCTCGGCCTCCCAAAGTGCTGGGATTACAGGCTGAGTCACCGAGCCTGGTCTAATATTGGTATTTTTTAAAACAATGCAAAGGTAGTCCAAAGAGTAGCAGGGAAGAGAGCAAAGATCACCATAATTTAGGAAAAACGTATTACATTTGCCTCCTGGGTCTCAATCCCTGAATGAAGAGGCTGTGAGAAACATCCTCACACAGGCAGATGACTTCTTTAAGTTTTGGGACCCTGAAAGGTTGTTTAGGCTGGGCTTGGTGGCTCAGCCTGTAATCCCAGCACTTTGGGAGGCCGAGGCAAGTGGATTGCCTGAGTCCGCAGGTTCGAGACCAGCCCGGGCAACTTGGCGAGATCTCATCCCTACAAAAAACCGAAAATTAGTTGGGCGTGGTAGTGTGCGCCTGTAGTTCTGGCTACTTGGAAAGCTGAGATGGAAGGATCGCCGGAGCTCAGCAGGTCAACACTGGGGTGGCCATGAGTGTGCCACTGCACTCCAGCCTGGCAACAGAGCGAGACTCCAACTCAAACAAACAAACAAACAAACAAACAAACAAACAAAAAAAGGTCGTTTAGCTGGGACTGCTGTAGTCTGGGGCATAAATCACTTATTCAACACTGCTTTAAGGTTAACTGAACTCTCGAGCCTGCTTACCTAGGCAGGACCGCCTCTTTATTTATTTATTAATTTTTTTGAGTTGGAGTCTCACTCCGTCACCTAGGCTGGAGTGCAGTGGCACTCTCACGGCCACCCCAGTGTTGACCGGCTGGGCTCTGGTGATCCTTCCACCTCAGTCTTCTAAGGAGCTGGGCAGGCTACCATGCCCAGCTAATTTTTTATTTTATTTATTTTTTCAATGTAGAGATGAGGTCTCACCATGTTGCCCAGGCTGGTCTCGAACCTGTGGGCTCAGACAATCTCGCTTCAGCCTCCCAGAGTGCTGGGACTACAGGCTTGAGCCACTGCACCCAGCCCAGGACCATCTCTTAATTGGACATGGGCAATTTCCTTGAGCTAACATGTCAGTCTTTTGCTTTCCTGGAGTGAAAAAGATGGCCAATCAAAAAGAGACAGCTCCCATAAAAACCGTAATCCTGCTCAGAATGCCACAGGAACACCAATCCAAAGAGAACCGCAGTAAAACCTTGTTATAGTCGGGTGAAGGAACAAAGATAAACATCAGACGTCTACAAAAAAAAAAAAAGGTGGGAAAATATATGTACACACACAAATCTGGGTGTGTGAAGAGTTTCAGGATAGTACTTTCCTAAACAGTCATGCACCACATAACAACATTTCAGTCAATGAGGGACCACATATACGATAGAGATCCCTTAAGAATGTAATACCATATATTTACTGTACCTTTTATATGCTTACAAATACTTCATCATGTTACAATTTGCCTACAGTATTCAGTACAGTAACATGCGGTGCTAGTTTTTACCCTAGGAGCAATAAGCTTTACTATGTAGCCTAGGTATGTAGTAGGCTGTACCATTTAGGTTTGCATAAGTCACTCTATGAAATCCCCTAACAATGCATTTCTCAGAACATATCCCTGTCATGAAGCATGACTCTATTTAAAGTCATATTTTAAAACAACTGCCTTAAATGACTCCCAGCAACTCTTTCATTGGCTGTTTTCAGACACAGATGAGCTAACTTCCACTTACCTAAGCTTGGACAAAGTGGCAGCCAAAACATCTGCTCTAGATAGGTTTAGCAGTTTAGTTCAGTCGTGTGTAGGGGGAGGAGGATGTTTATTTTTTATAGCTAATCATTATCAAGGCCATTTTAAGAATCTTTCAGGGAACCAAGTACTGCAAAAGGATTATGTTGACTTGTCCTACATATAATCAACATAAAACTGCATTTTTCAAAATCAACAAAGCTTATACATATACTGAAATTAAATAAAATTATCTTCGTTGTAGATGTATTTCTCTAGTCTGGTGTTTATCTTCATTCCTTCACACTGGTTATAACAGGATTTTACTGTGATTCTCTTTGGATTGGGTGCTCCTGAGGCATTCTGGGCCGGAATACCGTTTTTATGGAAGCTTTCTCTATTTGACTGGCCATCTGCCTCATTCCAGGAAACCAACTTTTGGATCAATTTCTCAAAATTGAACCCCATCTCTTCCCTCTTTTCCTCTGGGCAGAGGTCCTTGTCTGCTGGTACTCCACCATTCTTCATCAACAGAGTACATGACCTTAACTTTGAAAACAAAGCTCGACATGGAGAAGAAAACTCACCTGGAGTCTCCACCCGGCGGTAGTGGTAAGGGTTAATGCACACCTCTTTCTGCTTGGAGCCAAAAGGGAACTCACAGCACTCCAGTGGCTTCAACTCGTGGTGAGACTGGAGATCGGGCCAACGCCACACCCGGCAATAAATAACGTGAGGGAGCCCCTTGCGGTGGGACACCTGTAGCCGCCCATCCAGGGAGCGGGGAATCGTGACACACTTGCTAGGCTGCCCTGGACAGCTGAGTGCCCTCTCCAGTTCGTCCATGGCTCCCTTTTTCTTCTTCAACTTCTTCACCAGAGAGTCCACCGCCTTCTCGGCCCACTTTTCCTCTTCATCTCCTTGCTTCCAGCCTAGCAGCCTTTTCACTGCAGGGCTGGTGAAGGAGAAGAGGGAGCTGATGGGGGTGGTGGAGTGCATAAGAGGCGGACGGCAGGCGTCCAGCGCCCTTCACAGCCAAGTTACCAGCCAGCAGCGTTCCAGGGGTGGCATAGGGACAAACCTGCCCTTTCTTCTAGAAGCATCTATGACTCATTCAAGATGAAGAGTGTGTTGACGTTCTCCTAAGCCCTTAAAAGGGCTGGCCAACTCTGGAAAACAAGACAAGGCTTCATTTAGCATAATCAAGGTGATGTTCAGGAAAGGTTAAAGTTGGAGACAAGGGAGAAAATATTCTTCAAATGTTTTAACTTGAAGATTCTTAGTTGTCTTTGACGCTGCCCTCTCCTCTGACCAAGATCTGGGCAACACAATAAGACTCCAACTCAAAAAAAAAAGAAAGAAAAAGAAAAAACAATTAGAATCACAAATAATCTTACCACTCAGGGATAGCCATTCTTTTTTCTTTTTGTGAGTGGGAGTCTCACTCTGTCGCCCAGGCTGGAGAGCAGTGGCGTGTCCACAGCCACCCCAGCTTCAACCTGCTGGGCTCCAGCGATCCTTCCACCTCAGCCTTCCAAGTAGCTGGAACTACGGGTATGCACTACAACACCCGGCTAGTTTTTTATTTATTGTGGAGATGGGGGGTCTCACCAAGTTGCCCAGGCTGGTCTTGAACCCACAGGGGAATAGCCATTCTTAACATATACTTATCTAAATTATAGGACAATGGTTCTCAAAGTGTGTGTTTTGAGGCTTTGAGGTCCACTGGTATGAGTTAAAAGTCTCTTCATATACTTCAACCAAAAGAACATATTACAACAATATGCAAGCAGAAGCAAATATGAGACTCCAGGTGTCATTTATTAATCCAGGCGTTAAAGAGATTTGCAAAGATATGAAACAATGATACTCCTCTCAATAATTTTCTTTAAACAAAGTTTTTTAAAATAAAAAGCCAGCCCTGTGACTCATGCCTATAATCCCAGCACTCTGGGAAGCTGAGGCAGGAGGATTACTTGAAGCTCAGAAGGCAGGAATGAACTATGATCACATTACTGAGCTCCAGCCTGAGCAACAATTTTTAAAAAAATTTTGTTTATATTAATATACAATGGATTCTCAATGAATCAACCATTTTTTAAAAAAATAAAAAAATTTTTTTTTTGAGTTGGAGTCTCACTCTGTCGCCCAGACTGGAGTATAGTGGCCACTCCCGGCCACCGCAGCCTCGACCTGCTGGGCTCTGGCGATCCTTCTGCCGCAGCCTTCCAAGTAGCTGGAACTACAGGCGCGCAATACCACACCCGGCTGATTTTTTGATTTATTGTAGAGATGAGGTCTCACCAAGTTGCCCAGGCGGGTCTCGAACCTGCAGGCTCAGGCAATCCACTCACCTCAGCCTCCCAAGGCGCAGGATTACAGGCTGAGCCACCGAGCCTGGCTTTTTTTTGAAATTTCACAGCATCTATTCTTAAAATGGTAAAAAAAGAAAAAAGAAAAAAATGATAGATATAATTCACATAAGCAAAGGTTCTTTGGAAGTCTCAACATTTTTAAAAGTGTAAGGGGGTCGGTCATAAGACCAAAATGCTTAAGAAGTGCTTTTCTAGAATTTACACAGTCATATACTCAAATGCATCCACAAAAAAAGTATAGCTGTAGCATTTGTTATTTTGCCTGAAAACCCGCTGAATTCTTCTTTGCCTGCTCACTCACAGGAGACATTCTTTCCCAGTTATTCAGCAGTCCCATTTAAATTTCCTGAGGTACAACTGAATTTCCTCTTCTGTGAAATAGCTGGCTTAAAGAAAACCTCTTCCTTCTTCCAGATTTTAGAAACCAGCTACTTTATTAATGTTTAAAAGTGGCTGCTGGTCACATTTTGGAGCAAGCTGGCTCTTGGAATCAATCTAGCTCATAATCTCCAACAACTGCTTGTTAAATATGCATTAAACATAATTTTCTCCTTTTTTTCTCTGGAGGGCAAGCTGCACCTTGCTGAGCCCAATTCTATAAACTTCTTTTGAACAAAGATGCTCAATAAACTCCTGCTATGGTGATCATTATCTGGCAGCTCGGGTGAGGAGGAGGGCGGCATGGTTACACAAAAAATGGATGACACTTAATGAGGATAAAGTGACACTGACATCCCTTTATTCCTCACCTGGCCTTTCTTGAGCATTGTACAGAGGCAACCTATGATGAAAGGGAAAGTTGAGGGCTCTATAGTTATTCTTTTTCACTGGCAGATTGACTTACACTCAGTTTTATTTGGAAAGGTTAATTTTGTGGCTTAACAATCATGAGTTTATAAAGCAGAGTTAAGACACTGTGTTCCCGTTCTGTTTACTTAATCCAGACAGTCTGCCTTAATGCAGTTGAAGAAGACTAGGAACTTTAAGGAGAAGTAGCATGACACAGAATAACCTGAACACCAAAAGAGCTCTGAATTCTGCTTAGCTTTACATGGGATCATTATTAGTAAATTGTGGCATACATCTTTAAGCATAGCTCAGTAGTAGAGAAACACTTTTCATAAAAGTGTTTAGCAGAGTTAAACTAAATATACCTTTTAAAAAACCTTTAGTTTCATGAAAAAAAAAAAACTTCCCTAAATGGGGTTTGGTTTTGTTTTAACTGTGGGTTCCTGTCTATGTATGGTGTGCAAAATCAGTTTATTGGAACAAAATAGCTTTTGTAAAAACACCAAAACAAAACAGATATTGCAGCACAGCTGACAAGAAAATCTAATAATAATTTCATTAAAACCTTTTGTTCAGTGGTATGTGCTGTGTATACGTGCATATGTGTTATGTCTGTGTGTGGTGTATATGTGTCCAGGGTCACAATGGAAAATTTATTGTGAGTTACAATCAAATAGTTTGAAAATCACTACTTCTAAACCATATATTTCTCCAAACTGTGTGTGTCTGAGGTCCACCTTGATAAGTGACTTTCAGGGGCCACCATCTTTCCTCATCCCTTGGGGAAATCCCAGCTAGTCATGAATCTAGGGTCCGCCAAACCTTGGCTGCAGTCTGATCTCACTGCCACATTTAAAATCACTACGGCAGTCTCACAGAGGCACCAAAACTATGGTTTTATTGCTGCAAGACATGGCTTCTGCCTTATTAAATAGATGCCCTTACACTGAGGGAAGCCTAAAGAGTTAAATTTAGAACCTCAGAGTGAAAAACACCACATTTATTACAGTGGCCTCTAAGTAGGGAAGAAAGAGAACAGAAAATATCAAAAAGATTAGATCGAATAAAGCTCACTGTTGGGTGCACAGATGTTCAAAATATTTTCTACACTTGTTTGTATGTTTGATATACATTTTAATTTTAAAAATGAAAATTTTAAATGTAAAAATGTAAGCCATGGCAGGAGCAGTGGCTCAGGTGCAGTGGCTCAGGTGAGGTGAGAGGATTGCTTGAGCCCAGGAGTCTGAGGCTGCTATGCCCGTGCCACCACACTCCAGCCTGGGAAAGAAAGGAAAGCCCTGTCTCCAAAAATTAAATTAAATTAAATTTAAAAACTAACACGGCAGGTTAGGGTAATTTCATGAGAGTTTTTTTGTGCTGTTATATTTTCACTTTTGTTAGAAAACTGTGTATCCTTGGCACAGATCAACTGTGTGATCTTAGGGAAGTCATGTGATTTCTCTGGACCCTGCTCTTTCCTCATATGCAGATGAAGATGGGGCTCAGCCTCCCTGGAAGGGTCTGTCTGGATGATGGATCATGACTCCACAGTTGTTGCTGAGTGTGCCACATGGGATCGTGTGGCTTGCTCAGCTGCTCTGATGCTACCTGGCTGCCCTGTGGGCTGTCTGAGAGTGAGAGTCTCACTCAGGATGCTCCAATGCACAGAGCAGGGCAGAACAGCAGCTTCTTTTCCAAAGCTATCAGGCGACCCCCTTTTTTTTTTGGAGTCAGAGTCTCACTCCGTTGCCCAGGCTGGAGTGCAGTAGTATGCTCGTGGCCACCCCAGCATCCACCTGCTGGGCTTCAGTGACCCTTCTGCCTCAGCCTTCCAAGGAGCTGGAACTACAGACATGTGCTACCACGTCCAGCTAATTTTTTCATTTACTGTAGAGATGAAGTCTCGCCAAGTTGCTCTGGCTAGTCTCAATCCACTGGTCTCAGGCAATCCTCTCACCCTGGCCCCTCAAAGTGCTGGGATTACAGGATTGAGCCACCACGCCTGACCCCAGGCAACCCCTTTGATGACAAATGTCACCTACTGACACAGAACAAGTTCCACTTTGCTCTCCTGTTGTCTGTTTCTCTCTAGTATTATTTTAATCAATACTTTTCTTTCTAATATTATTTCAATAAGAGTAAAAATGTACACTGGGCATTGCTGGGTTTGAACCACCTGTTGGCGTTTATAGCCCAGATCCCCACAAACACCTTCTGCTGGCCATGAGAGCTGTCTCCCCTTGAGCAGAGAGAAAAAAGTACCACAACTGTCCTTCTCTGACTCACTCCTTGCCCACTTCACATACTTGCAGCACAAAAACAGTGCTTCTTTCTTTTTCTGGCTTTGAGTTTTACAATAAACCCCAACTGAGTAAGCAAAACAACTCCTCATTTCCAAGTCTTTTAAATAAACAAGCCCACTTAAAAGCAGCGCTGACCGCATGCACACACCATGAGTTAAGTGTACATAATTCTACACTAAAAAACAATTTAACTGGCTAGATAAAAGTTTGGGAGACATGAGCTTTTTTAAGTTGTGGGTTTAAAATCCAGCTCCCATTAGCAGTTACTGAAGATTATTTCCACTTGCTCGGCAAGATTTAACTGGTGATTTTAATCCTGAAGAAGATATAAATTTAAAAACACCGCTTAGGTCCAGGCATGGTGGCTTATGAGAGGCTGAGGTGGGAGGACTGCTTGAGCTCAGGAGTTTGAAACCAACCTAGGCAACATAGTGGGACCTTATCTCTATGAAAAAATCAAAAAATTAGCTGGCCGTGGTGGCATGCACCTGTAGTCCCAGGGACTTAGGAGACTGAGGTGGGAGGATTGCTTGCGGCCAGGAAGTTGAGGCTGCAATGAACTGTGATTATGTCACTGTATGTCAGCCTGAGCGACAGTGAGAACTGGACTAAAACATAATTAAAATAAAATGAAATGAAATAAAAAATACTACTTAAGATGAAGCATGCCTAAGGACTGGATACACTGACCTTTGAGCAATCCTT